GGTCGCAAAGTACACAAAGAAGAATTAAATGTGCACTAAAAATAAAACGGTAGCACTTGGCACGGGCTACGGCCGAGTCAAAGGCTGCTAATTCAAATCAACTGGGTTCAAATAAACAACGAAACAATTGAACAATTCAAGCAATCAAACAGTACCTCTGGAATGGTAATAAGCAATACTCACTGAAAAACAAAACTATATACTTTTGCAAGGCACCTCAGCGGGTGAACCATTGCATCTATTACAATGCTTATTATTATTATGTTTCCTGGACAGAAATATTAAAAGCAGCTGCTCATCAAATTTTGTTGGCAATCTTGTACCAATAAGAAGACTTGGACGATCAAGGTGATAAGACATTGTAGTCCAAATAGATCCTGAGCTAGCCTCAGTCGGATCTGACATTTTCAAAATTCATCTCTTTTTTACACAGTTGATTAAGTAATTAGGGTATGCTGTTAGCTCAACAAATGTCCACTACACGATGTCGATCCAATCTTAGCGGCACCAGAGTTTACGTTGGACCCTTATTCGTGCCATATAATGACCTGGGAAATACGCTTCACTCAGGCCATGGCAGCCAAATGATTGCCTATCTCCAAATACTTGCATTCACCAGCGGATTTAGCAAATTGGAGATCTTAATATAAACTCGACTGAGATGTCTTTTCCGTTAAAAGTTAAAGTTTTGTTTCAAACTACTCGATAATGTTTGATAGTAAAGCTTAATGACTACATTAACCGAATTAGCGTTTAAGCTTCTAAAAGGATAAACAGCGAATTTGCCGAACTGAAGAAATAATATGAAGGCTTTCGCGTCCACAACGGCGTCATTAAGCAAGCGAAAGATGCAAACCCATGTCGCGATCTGTGATTTAGCAATACAAAGACGGACCTGGATGCTTCCGAAGTGGTGTCGTAAAACCCAAAACACAGGCAGCGACAAATCCCGGACGTGCTCAAGTGGAATGCCTAAATTTGAGCTGTTCCCGAACTACAAGCTTGTCAGTAGTGTGTCATTTAAGGAATTACTCGAAAATAGTTACAATGCTAACCGATATTTTGTAATAAAATTGCAATATTACAAAATGTTTGAACAAACATTGCTGTATTTACTTTGGATGAGCTGTTTTTAATTGGCTTGAATTCCTTTTGTTAGCGATCCACCCCAGTCTTATTGTCTGTCGGGTCGCGAAGTGATTGTACTGCACATCGCATTGTCATTCTGGGCACTCCTTTGCTTCTTTATTGATTTATAAATTGCTGCTGAAAGCCCTCTTCGACCACTGAATGATCTTTGCAAATCCAACATTTCTTGTTCCCTATTTGGCCGCGCCTTCTGCAAAAGAGTAATCTTGTTCTTTCCCAAGCCATTCGCTTGGGCATTTAGGCGCTGGGCAATCGTAGTCCCCACTTGATCCCTAATTTGAAGGAGCAATCGACTGATGGTTTCGTTTTGGGTTGAGCAAAAATCGGCTGCACTTTGGCTGTTTACTCTAGCCGTCATTTCATAGAGTGGGCTAGGGCGGTGGCTAGCTGCAAACATTGCACTAGTTCAGCCATCAACCAATCAGCTACCTCGACCAAAACGTGAGTTGACAAACACGAATTATAAGCCTGAGGGTAAGTTGTGCGCAACAGATGAGATTGATACATGTAAGTTGGCATTAAAATTTTCGTACCCTTTTACTACGTGCGTTGAAAAAGGTCTTCCTTATACAGTTTGAACAAATGATTACAGTTTTATGTCAAGAATGGTAATTTTATTCCGTTGGTAAAAAACCGTGATCTTAGTTTACGTTGATTATTTGTGCCACTTCAAATTCGTTTCTCTTTTCGTGAACCTTTGTTAAGATAACTATAATGAGAATGCGGTTAAACCTTTTAACCGACCTCAGAACTATTATTAACTAAATTAAGCAATTGAAAATCACTACTGGACTTTGCCCATTGATTACAGCCACCTGATTATACAGTTTTAGTGGTGAATAAGTAGACGTGTCCTTACTGCCTGTGGCTCACAAAAATCCCCTGGATTCTGGTTGGAATTTCATGCCACGGAAAGTTGGCATTTCTAAAGTAGCTTGACTCGAAAACTATCCCATGCCCATCAATTTTATGAATAGCTGCTCCCAACGAAACGCAATTAGGCCTACTTCAATGGAATAATTTGTCTGAGTTCTGTAATTGATAGCGTACCTATGGCTAGTAATATTTGGAGAAGAACCCAGAGAACATTAAGACACCATCTTTAGGACCGCAATAAGTGTGGATTGATCGCCATTCCCCTTCGACTCACTTTTTTGTTAAATTGTAATTTATGGTGGATAAAATCCCAGATGCCGTCACAGCCAAGAGATGACAAACTGAAAGCAATTCACTGGGTCTACAAGATACTTAAATTAACCGCTTTTGACGAATATTCGAATGTTCCGTTTTTGTGGTCGTCGCCATTTTAAAGTGAACCAATGAACTACTCTACTAACCAATTTCTAGTAGGCAAATCTAAGCCCCTAATAGAACATGACAGCGTTCACGACGCGTTTACACTAAGCGTGTTTAACTTCGAAAATGCTACTACTTTCGTATATCAGCGTTCAGCAACTTATATATTTTTACTGACTGCTGCTTCACATTCAGATGAAAGTGCAGCAGCAGATTTTTAAAGGAAACTCACAGGGAGATATATAGTCGAAGTGACCCAATATTCCTGGCAGTGTCGGAGAGGTTTATCAAATGCATGTTGAAGATTGATGATAAGCTGTCATCGAAAGTTTGTTTAGAAGAATTGTTCCTGTCCTGAAATTTTGTCGTCGGACCTGTACAGACACACGGACTTTATTCATTTCTACGCATATGTCATTATAGGAAAGATAGTCCTTCTCTCGACTGTCTTATTCACGAATTTATCCCTTATTTCTTTTCTGGTGTAGTGTTGAGGTTAAATCAATAAATTTATAATGATGAATGTATTTCTTACCATTAAAGCAGAAACAGGACAATTTTATAAACTACTGATTCCTGTTAATGCTGGTGCATTTTAGCATTTGTTTGAAAAAAAAACGAAAACTTAAATTGATCTGTTCACTTATTCTTGATTTAGGAGTTGGGTTTGAATTCACGGATAGCAATTTGAAAGTGTGCTTCCTAAATCGATTAACTAGGTATTGCCGGAAGATATTGACAGAATCTCCACTGTAATTCATGATTTAAATGCTAACCAAATATTATTGCATTAAATAAAAGAAAGTGGCTTAAATGGGGACAATCAAATCCAAATTCGAACTAATCGCAAGAAAAACCATTCCATCTCTATAACAAAACTCTCCTGCTTAAGTGAAATGGGAGGGAGTTATCAGGATGTAAATCAAAACTGCCAAAGTACTGCTTTAACAAACTTAGAAAACTCTAGTTTAACAAAAGGGAAATTACTTTAAACTCTTTAATGTACACATACAGTTCAATATGAAAACCTGCTTAAAGTGTGGTGTGTTAAATCAGAAAGCTTAGTGGAATATTAAATGCATTTTAATTGCCATATATGACATCCTTTAGATCTAGACCATCTACTAGTGCCATTACAATCAATATCCCAGTTTTCGCACTGATGAATAGACAACCCCATCGTCAATTGGATCAGTCACTAGTGAAAATGGGCTACCGGGATGTGGTGCTACTATATTAGTGTGTTTGCATGGGCAACAGTTTAAGTTGCCTTAATTAGATTTATGGTGAGAAGTAAAAATTTCGAGGTGCAAAAATATACACAGTTTTGACTTCGAACAGGCATGAGGGTTCAAGAGACACAAGGCCATATAGAATCCATTAAAATTTTAATTTATAATAATAAATCACACACTTCTTTGGATATTAATTTTTTTGCAAGAAATTGAATGGATTAGAGGGACACATTTTCAATTTAGTTTAACATTGAATGCTCAGGCAAACTGAATGTTTGTTGAATGAAATGGTTGCTCAAAACACTGCACTATTAAGAAGGCTTTTGGCTATCTCCCAATTAAATACATGTTCGTGAGTTAAATTCAAAGCATGAATTAAGTTTTTTGCAAGCAAGATATCTGCATTAGGAAGATGAAATCAAAGCCAGGATTGAGAGTTGAATGTTCGCTTTCAGCTAACTTTTGACGCACAAAATCACAAAGAAAGATGCAGGACCAAATTAGTACCATGGCTAGAGCTACTATAGAATGTTATATTTAATGGTCAAGAAAGTTAACTTAAAGGCCGATACAATCCTGTGCGGTGGACTGAATTTTAATAACTAAACAGAAGACCCACTAAAATGAATCTGAACGTATTTACACATTCAATTTAAAATTATTTATATCCGAATACATGCATTCGATGTTCAAAACTACTAGCTACATAAATGATAATGACACATTTCGTACAACTATAAAAATTTGTACCTGCTTGTGATAGATTTATCGCAAGTTCACATGTTTACAAATTGAACATTCTCAAAATCCAAAGTGAAAATAATACATCTTTTATTTTTTTGCTGGTCTGTTTTAGTAGTTTGGTAAGTAGGCATCCACCTAGTCACAAGCGGATTGAAATTTATGTGATTTTGGCATCGAGTAAAAGTTAACGCCAGTAGAGAGCAGGATAATTTCAGACGCCACTAAATCTTATATGCAAATTTGAAGCATGCGCCATTTGTATAGTCTGATGAGTGTATTTAAATGTGTAAGATACTGTGACACCCCTTTGATAGTTTTATAAGTCATTTCGAAGCCTTGACGAAGTAGGACTTCGCAACACAATATTAAGCTTGATGTTCCTACAGACACATGCATAATATTGCCAATAGATTTCATTGTTTCTATTAAAGTGTATTTGATGCAATTAATTCACGCTAAAGTATATGTAATTAGGAAAATTGCTGCAACTTTGCAGTCAACAACGACATTACAGATGATGATTTTTGTTCTCTTTCAAGGTCACCTGGGTTTCCTAAGGCGGTTCGGATTCTGAAAATGGCCAGCCCGAGAACACGTCACGTTTTGGCCGATGTTCGTCGTAAAGACGAGAACAACGTAAATTTCTCGTAGTGTGCCTTACTGGTCTTTCACATTTTATTTTGTTGTTCGTTGGGGCTCTGTGGAGGCTTTGTAATGAGGGGTTTAAGAAGTTGTATAAAATCGTGTCTCGTGGCTTGCATGTTGTAATATCTGTTATTTGCGTAATTTTATATTGTGTTTTATCACAAAATGAGCACGGAGTTTTCGGGATTAGCGGATACGTAACTCCGTCTGGTATAGCGACTATATTCCTTTCACAATTGGTAGTATTTTCATGCTTCGTACATATGTGAATTGCACTGGTTAGTTTTCGTTTATGGGATTGTTCGTGTCATTGTTTTTGGTGAATGTTTATTTGAGGCAGTAACCTGGGACAGTTTGATTACTGTTGGGTGTTTACCAGCGTTTGATGTCTGTTTAAATTCCCTGTTAAATAGTTCACAAATACCATTTTCCCGAATTTATTACAGCTTACTTAAGGGTGTTTGCACCGTTTTTAGTAGATTCATTTCCTAGATTCTTAAACACAACCTGTGTTTTGCTTAAATAACTTTTATTTGAATGGGGTTTGCTTTTTTAGTTTTGCTTTGAATGTGGTACTCCAAATCCACAATGGGCCAGCGTCACATACGGCATTTGGATATGTTTGGAGTGTTCGGGAAGACACCGCGGTCTCGGTGTCCATCTAAGGTAATTGTTTTAGACGTTTTTTAAGAAATAGTTTCCGTTTAATTTTCATCTAAGCAGTCTAGGTTGGTTTTTTATCCTTTTAACTCCGGTGTCATCATGGATGCGTTTAAATTTAATTGCGAATTTTAAGTTTCTCCTCCCTAATATTGGCTAACTTTAGAAACCAAGTTGTTCATTCATTTTTCGAGCCATTAACCTCATAAAATAACCAGAGTTTGTATCCACGTTTTTGGTCTTAGTAAATCTAATGGCATGGATTTTCACAAATACGCGTCTAGGACTAGGATTTGCTTGATTGTATCGGAATTGCGTTGATTCAGACTCGCTAATCCGATCACCCAATCGGTGCGAACTAGCACCCTGGAATATCACGTTTGATAACATTCACCTATCTCCTGATAATAGCGCCTTTATGACTCATGTTATTTTACACTCCTGGGCTGTAACTTCACATGCACAAACGCCATGCACGTTGAGCTCACAAGTAAATGGTTGTGTCCACGTCCTTTCCTGTCCTCTTCGTCGTCGCTGGTAGCAGAGCAGCGTATTCGGGCCAGATTCGACACTGTGAACCCGACGTTATTCGAGACCACGCACCGGGGCCCACAACAGTTGTTTCCTAGTCCGTCGCCCATTATAACGAAGGTGTTACTTTTAACTACTAAACATGAAAATTGACTTGTTGATTTTTTTATGTCTTCCGGAGTATGGCATTTATAATACCTTGTGTTTTGAAGTCGACAAAGATATCGTACAGAAAACAGGAACCCTTGTTGCCTGCGATTTTTCTTTTTTCTTGATCTTGAGGAAATCTGTTCTGTTTACAGTACTTGTTTTTTTTCGGTTGCGTCGTATTTTGAAATCATAACGTTCGTTATTTAAGTAATCCATACTACGTGTTTAATTTGTCTCCGATTTTTTGGCTAAAACACTTTCCCCTTACCTTAAGGTGTTAAATGAGTTGGTAGTAGGCCACACTCGTGGCAGCATTCGGGTTTTTATCTCGTCGATTATTAAACAGTTAATCGCCAAAGGCAATTGTATTTTGACGTGGTATTCATATTTCGTTAGACAGGAGTACTTCGGTTTTTTCAAATTTATGTGGAAACACCTCATTTTATTTAGGGCTTTTGACTCTCTTCTACTGTGTTTCCTTTGAGTCGTAAACGGCCTCTTTCGATTAGGTGTTATTCAGTTTTGGTCCAAAGCTTCAATTGCATATTGTGAATTTTACATCTGTTACTTACCCTTATAAAGTAGGCAGTTTTTTTCAACATGAGAATTTTTGATGACGGTCTTAATCATACGTTACATCCTTTTCCCATTTGTAGTTTTGTGCGCTCCATAACCATGGACAAATGGAAAACAGTTGAGCTAGAAAAAATGAAGGTAGGTGGGAACCGGAATGGCCGTTTGTTTTTTGAATCGCAACCAGACTTCCGTTCAACGTGGTCGCTCACGGAGAAGTACAACAGCAGAGCCGCTGCCCTCCTCCGCGACAAGGTACGCGGTTTTTAGCCCTAATTTTTAACTCAGACAAAATTTTTTTTAAACGGCTCAGCACTTGACATTGGCGTTTGGTTTTTTTTGTTCTAACAAGATCCTAACGGAGGCCGATGGGCGTGTTTGGAGTGAAGAGACCTCCGCAGCAAGGCACTACCAGCCGCCACACGGGATGGGTCGCTGTGCCACCGCCGAGAGCCTGCCGTCGACCCAGGCGAGGGACATCCCCGCGCGCCGAATGCCCACCTGCCACTCCGACCTGGAGGCCTGGCTCAACGACGACGAGCCCGTGCAAAAGGCCAGGACACAGGAGTACTTCAGTCGCGTGATGACCGAAAACGCAAACAGACCGAGGTTGGTCACTGGCCCTCCTAGTGCAGACACCCTTTTTTGTTTTGTTTCGTTTTTTGTTGGCCTGAAAATCAGTGTTAATTTAAAGGGAAGAACAGTTTCGAGTCACAATGTGCAGAAAAGGCAATTTCTCGTAATTGATGTAAATCATGAGGTTACGCATTTACGTCGCCCTTTTGCCGGTTGTCTTAGAAACACTGATTGATCTCGTTGCCAATTGTGTAACGATGGTGATTTCCCTTGTATAGATCCGACTTGATTGGTCACGCCTTGCTTAAACCACAAGTGTGCATTTGTGCGGCTTGACGCTTTCTTGGGTCCTTATGGCGCCTAGAAAGCCCCCTTGTCTGTTTCATAATGCTACCTATTGTTTGTGATGTCCCCTTTAGAATGTAATCTATCTCTTCTTTTTACTTGACTGCTTTTGTTTAATTGCTACTGTTGAGTAATCGTCTAGTTTCTTTTCCTCTTTTAAAACTAATGGTAATCATTACCGTCTAATTTCTACCATTGTAGTTCCCCTGCAGTAATGTGGTTTGCATTCTTGGCACCCTCTTTTATACTCTGTCACCAGGTCACAAACCTAATCGACCAGAACGTCTTTTCGCGCTTTTAAGTGGGAAAAGTCGCTTTTCCTGTCCTAGGCTTTGTTTTTCCCTTGGTGGTGGATTATTTGCTGTGAAGCTGGGTTTCACACTAGTCTAGACGGTGGTCAGTGGTCAGCTAATGCTAAATAATGCACTTTTTGTGTGCCAGTGCGGCGGCATGGCATTGGACCTGACTACAAATTAGAAGGGCCGGCTACTTTTTCGAGGCGGTCAACAAGTCTCCTTGTGTAATGCGTATTAACGAGATGCGAATTGGTCGGTGGACAGCTATAACCCACTTCGAGTCGTTCATCTCGTGAGCTCCACTGATTCAGTACCTTCAACAGGCAGTCAATGGCTTTTATTCGTGAACCTCGATTTTGTGATGATGAAACCTTTTGGTGGACAGGAAGACACTTCGCGTGAGTGATGATTCACCCCCTCTGTTATTGGCTCCAGTTAGCGGTCGCGTGCTCATACGCACACAAAGCCACTGGGGGGCTGGTGTGACACCAGCAAACGGTCGTGCCCTCTGCCGTTTCTTCGTCCACTCTTCTCGGGTTGTAACGGACTGTGCCCTAGAGGGTTGTAAGGTAGTGCTAAACACAGCTACTACATTTGGTGACCCTGACGTGATGAAACCGCATTATTTTTGACTCCGTTGATTGGTGATGTCCGTCGAATTTTTCACAACTCTCTCCTCTGTTAATAGTGAGTGGCCCCATTGCATTTCAGTCAACTTTCTCCCGTGCAGTCACAACGTCCGAGTTTGGTTCAAGCAACCTGAGGCCCATTTTCTCCACCAGATGACTACCTCCCAGTTCTCAAAATATTTACGACTTGCTTGAAACATTGTCTTCTGAAAACCCCGATGAATATTTGAGTGATGCTCCTCTCACACGATTGATCAGCTTGAACGAGGCCCGTCGTCGACACCTACTTTCTGGTATCGAACTAGTTGACAGGTCTCCTTCTCAACTCCTTCGGCATATGCGCCTCTTTTTTGGAGATATCAAGGTTAATGAACCCGCTCTACATCAAGTGGGGACTAAAACTTTCGTGGCACACATGAACACAATTACCTTGTTCCAGAGGTCCAGCGTACGCTTAGATAAGCTTGCAAAGATGGCTGATAATATCCACGAGTGTCTCACCCACGGAGCGGAAAATCGAACCATCCTTGGTGTAGCAGCTAATAGGTAGCCAACCACCCACTGAGATTGAATGAAATATCACCTAGACAGCCTCAACGTCGACAGCGCACCAATTCCCGTTTCCGCCACCCAAGTCAACCCAGGAAGCGATCTGACCTACCCCTGAGACCCGTTGTCCGCTTTGCTGATTCAGTTCAGTAATTATCGAGCCTTTACTGTTTCACAGCTAAGACTCGGAAGGGAATATGTGTAGTGGACAAAAAGTCACCCCATTTGTTATTGGCTCCTGTAAGAAGTCGCCTGTTACGCACGCGTACTCATACGGACACAAAGGCACTTGGTTGGTGTGACACCAATAAACGGTCGTGTTCTCTGACGCCCCTTTCCCCCATCTTCTGGGGTTGTAACAGGTTTTTACCTAGAGGGTTGCAAGATGGTGCTAAAACCAAGGCCCTACAGCCTGAAATGGGAAGATTTCTGTTCTGTACAACTCCGATTTCGCCTTGAAGTAGCTCCTGGTTAATTGCTGTTTGTGTGCGCTTGTTAGAATGTATTCAGCGAGGTGATTTGGCATCGTTTTCAAACGAACTGACCTTACCTTCGTCACAATAAAGCGCAAATACCTTCACCCAACCACTATTTCGCCTGTGGAATGTGGCAAAGTTGGTGTCCTGAGGAGGGCCATTGTGCGCAGTGATTGGTATTCCCCGCCAACCGACGCGGACTGATGAATCAGCTTTTGGAGTGGTGCCTAAATGCGTTTGAATTTCGGAGATCGACAATGCGTTTATTGGGCCCCTCCAAAACCCTTTGATTTTAACAAATGTCAGTTGTCGATAAAGAAAAACAGCATAACGTCAGATTGTTATTGCAATGAACGGACTCCATAATGAAGACTGGCTTTTTTGACATTTTATCGCGGCGACCGCATGGTGTGGCCACAGTACCCCGAGTTACCTTGGCAAGCCTTGCTCCGAATTATTAATTTTTTCGTGGAAGTTAAATTCTGTGGTCAGCAATGCCAAAAAAGCAGTTTCCTTAATCATTTTAAACCCCTAAATTTGAAGGCTCCTTTGTGCTTTCGCGTGGGTTTTCGTTTAGTTGGTTTGCTGTCCAAATCCTGTAGTTGAATTATTGCGAATTGAGGATAACTTGGGCAGATATGAGCCTCGGAATATTCGACTTCAATTTATTTCGCCATCATTCACTGTTTACTGCTTTTCACTGAAATCTTTGTCATGCTTTTCTATGCTAAAACCCGCCTTGCAATTATCAACGGTCACGTCTTTGGTGGGCAGATTTTAAGGTCTATTTGACATTGGAAATTTTTTTTCCTATTACTTCGTGTAGTTTGTACTAAACTACTGTTTCTGGACTAGGAAATGACGATCCATGTCTCCAGACCTGGAAGTTATGCGTTTGGATTGGAAAGCAGCCTGCTTCGTTGCTTTGATTATTTTTTTTTGCTTAACCGACTTCCGTTTTGCAAACGTCTTGCCTCGGCGGAAACATCCATCACGAAAAACTCCCATCCTGAGGAAAAGACTCCCAGTCGCGAGCCTAGTGTTTGTTGGGCGTGCAGTCAACTCACACCCCCTTCCAGCTGTTGTCATGGCTCCATTCCAGTGTTGATGGAATAAGCTGCATGGCAAATCGGACCAGCCTATTTGTATATGTCGCTGAAATCTTTAAGTAGAACAGGGGCTTCTTCATTTGGGTCTCGTTAGATTCTGTTTTGCTTTGGCAACTCGACAGAAATACTTTCAACATGGTCGGGCTTTCCATTACCTTGCCAGTAATTTTTTGTTTCCCTCGACCAGGAAGTGTTTCAGATTGCTCTACTGCTGTTTGCAGTACAACTGGAGCAGTCCTATTTCCCTATTTCTGCAAGAATAAACCGCGGTGCCCCGTGCAAACGTTTGTCCTTGTGTTCTTGACTTCAGGTGCGGGCATTTTGTGCTTACACAATATAGTTTCGCCGTTGTTTTACTTAGATCAAACAATTTCGTCCATTGAAGCTGTCACGGTTCCTTGATTTTGGCAAACGCACGTCCCCATTACCTTGTTTTGCTCAAAGTGTGGAAAGTCGACTATGTAAACCGTCAAACTTGCTCATAAATATAAGTTTTTGGCACTGAATCGCTCTCCCCATGTCACGTCACACGTCATCACATGCTACTCCGCATTATCCCTTGCGGACCGAAATAGCTGGCGTTGCGACTGCTGGCTCCTGAGTGGGTCCTCTGCGTCCTCGTGAGTGTGCACAGCTGGTGCAAATGCTCTTATATGACCAGAATCCTTCAACACATTAGTATCTTTTGAACTACCTTTTGCATTTTTAATGGTGTACTTGCACCTGTAGTCTCCGACTACCCTTTTTGTATCTAGTTCTAGGCGCTAGTGCGTGCACATCGTAGGTAGTGAGTAGTAGTTTTGTTGTTACATCTATTGACGCTTAAACCATAGCTCGACCCCGCATCACGTGCCAACCAAACGGGAAGCACTTGTCACCCACACCGTTTCTTCGTCTTCTTTTTCACCCCGATGTCTGCCCACATTGTTTGCCATTTCCTCAAAAGGCAAGATTTATCCTTTTGTTCGTCACTATCATTTCCTAGATCCATTGCCTGCCTTTTTGTGCATATTGTGGCCAGTAGAAGAATGTGAATGTAAAGCTGGCTGCCCCGTATTTTACATTCAGTTTCTGTTTAACGCGATTGAAACTTTTTTCTCCTTTTTGGCACCTGTTTTGTTCCTCTTGAAGGTCATTTGATGTTAAAATAACACATCCGCCCCTGAAAAGTGTCCATTAGGAATTCCTGGCGGAAACAGATCTCGCATATTGGGTGATGTTATGTAAGCTCCGTTTCGTAATCACGGTATTAACCTCCGCCTTGGGTGGAGGCACGCAGCAGGCTGCTTACACGTTGTTATGCGACAGGCAGTTGCTGCTGCAAGTGTCCATCATCGACTTCGTGCACGCTGTCCACTGTTATGGCAAAATACGCCTGAGGAACTAGATAAACGGCGATACTCCGTCAGCGTGCTAGACTGCAAATGTTTAGGGTGTCAACTGGTAACTATGGTGAACGAGGCATGAATTCCAAGTGGGGCATTTTCATGTTCTACTCAACTTGATCCAATTACTTGGCTGCCACAAGTCGGTAGGTGCAACTGATTGCCAGTGGCTCGTTTCAGTAACAAACGAATTTGTCATGTAGGAAGTTTTTGTGCCTACACCGAAGGAAATTTAATTTCTCTTAGCAGGTTTGCTATCTACCTCCAAGAGACCTCCAGTGCACTGACTTCGACATTTTTTTAAAATGTGTCTCATATTTGTTGTCATGGCAATTACTCGTGATGTCCCTTTTTGTACTTTCCATCTGCCTAAAATTTAACCCATTAGAGTCAACCACTTAGATGCATAATAACAGCGCGGTAGAATTGAGGGGGAGTTAGTGCGTTCCGCATTTTGCCTGTTTACAACTTTCAGTTCTTTTATTAGGGTCCCTGCGTGCGTTGACATGATTTCGGTGCCTAATTAAAGTTTCGGATTGCTTTATTGATGCTTTTATGGTTAAAAGCTGGAGGAATTTCGTCCGAAGCCTTTTTTTTATTGGCTGTCCCGTCGCCATGCCGTGTACGGTGAACTTGGCTTTTTCCTCTCTAAAAAGAACTGCGTTTGTTTGGCTTATTTGTAACACACCTGGCAGTGTGCGCGCGTTTTTTAGCGCTTTTCAGAGGAATTTGACAAAACCGACCACTTCCACTTTAACAAACAGTCTCACTTTTTGCTATTAATGTTTTATTGGCATTGGTTGATTTAAGTGGTCACTTTTCTAGCCGTTTTCAGGTCATCCATCGACAATTTGTCTTTGCCTTATCAATACATCCACTTTTTTCAGCTGGAATTTTTCGTTCATACGACGTCTTTTAGTGCTTCACCTGTGAAGAAAACAATAACTGGGTCTCCACTCATGTGGTCAAAGTCTTTTGCTGTAAAATCAAGATTCACTGTATATTAACGATCGTTGTAAATCTGCGTAGCCACTGCCTACGTCTTTCTTTTGTTGCAAGTTCTTGTGACGGAGGCCTTACAACCTGCCTTACAGGAGAAGTTCGTGCACATAGGAAGTAGGCATATTTTTCCAAGGTTGCATTCATCTCGATTGATCGGCATTTTCTAGTAACATAAAGGCGTCGCTTACGTCTTATGCGTCAAAATGATCGTCTTCATCACTTAGATGCGCTTTCTGCAAGCAGGGTCGCTCGAAAACACCTGAGACTTCTCTAATCGCCTTACCATTCATGTGTGTTCACAACTCTCTGGAATACTTTGCTTTCTTGCATAATTCAGACAGTGGACATGCAACACTGCTTACAAAAATGTCAAACATGCAGATTTCCGGTGTCGGCACACCTTACTTTACAGCATGCTTTCACATGGACAATGCGATGGAATCGATTTCATTTTACGAAATCACCTAAATTAAACTACATTGGCCACAAAGAACTAACCCATCTGACACCTCAACGCTTACCTTTCGAGCTTCTACTTGAAGTTAATACAAATTCCTTTGACCTCGGTACAAGTATCGGGTATTTAACCAAGTTTGGTAATGATACACGTATGGTTGAGTGCAGGTGTGTCGATACAAAAGTAATCGCTACCAACGGGTTGTCACTGCTGATATATCCTCAACTCCACGGTTTGTCACACTTCGGCGAAGTCAAGTATTCCAAAAGCTCAAGTGACTGTGTCCTAATCAGGACAGATTCCTTAAGTCATCTGAGTAGCGATTTTCGTCGCTACCGTTGATTTTGTTAATTTGGGCGTGGCACTGGGTGGGACTGTGGGATAGATAGCTGATGACTTTTAGTTTCCTTCGATTTTGTTTTGTTGGCACATAAATGCCTAATTTTAAGACTCGGTTATGTGTTTGGCGCCATCGCCTTTACCTTGGCCCATTGCCCATTCCACAGTGGTTCATCTAATCACTCACTCATGGCCCCTATAATCGAAGTTCCATTTGAGGCACATGAGATTCGGCCAATTTTTCACCCTACATCGGGTTTATTTAAGTTTTTCATTTTATCAATTTCAAAACTCACCATATTTCCTGTTCTTTGCATCCTAATTACATGGCCTTTTTTTCCTCACATTCATTTAAAAGTGTTCTCGTTTGTCTTTGTTGACTTCAGTTTCTTTTAATTAGGCATGGCACAAGAAACTATTTCGTTCGCTTTTTTTCGCTGCAACAACACGCTATTTTGCTGCTCATAAATCATGTGAAATTTTGCTTGGCTGGCAACATGAAGGGGAGAAAACAAGTAGTTGAAACTTTTGTGGGACTTCATTTCATACCTCATGAAGTATTTAAATTAAATTATTTTTGCCTATTCCGTCAGTCCCCCTCTTCGCGCGCAAAATGTATGCAAACACCACGAAAGTGTGTCTGGCTTCTTGGGTTTTCGATTTGCACAATTCGCCGTAATGATGCTGACACAAATTTTTTCGCCAACGGTTTTGTAAGCCTCTCCGCAACTTGGCTTACTCGTATCTACCGGGCTTCACCAAGCGCCTGTGTGACGCATTTTCAGGCTGGTTGTCAGCCCATGGAGACGGTCTCGTCAAACTTACTTTTGCAGACGAATCGTGTTGTGTCTTGAAAGCTTCGTCGACTCCTTTCCCATCGACCTTCCCACAAGTTCATTCCATTCCACTAGCTACTTTTTCTAGCCGTACTGGCAACATTGTTGTTCGCAACCCACCACATTCCGCGTGATCGCCTGTTTTAATGTTTACCACAAAAAAAACGTGATCCTCGGGGCCGAATTTCATGGAGTGCTGCAGAATGCATTAACCGAAACGCTTTTACCGCCTAAACACGTTGTTTTGAATTGTGACGTTTGTTTTAGCGGACTCCCTCCCAGTCAAGGCGGGCGATATGAGGGATTTGGGAACACCCCGGTTACAAACACATCCACTCTTCACAATTCCACCTACGACGATGCCATGCAAACCATCATGAATGTAAGCTTTGTACTTTCACAGGTTTTTTTATGTTGAGAAGCGACCTGAAGGCCTTAGCTTTGCGCTTAATGCCTCCCGCACCATCAGGCATTACACCTTCCCGGTCACATTACTAGCACGTAACTTAGCAGGACAGGCACAATACCCCGGTTGTCGCAGTTGCCTATTCTGCGAAGCGTTTATTAGCCGTCGGACCCACCACCCTGCGATTCGCGGAAAAGTCCACTTTGCGCAACTTGTCGGGGTTATTTCCCCTCCCGCCTTCTCATCAGGTCGGATTTGCACATAATCATATCAAGACGGATGCTGCCCCACACCCTATCCCGAGTATCATGTCTGCGCATTATTATCTCACTACACTCTTACGCTATTATCTGATTTATCGTTCCCCATTTAGCGATGTGCTCTTGCTTGGTGGTAGTTCTGGATGCAATTACACGACCGCTATAGGCTGTCCGGTGGTAGATAAATACTGCTGGAATAGGGGTGACGTTTTGTTGAATCGAGAAGTGCAGTGCACGAGGAGTTGCCCTCACTCCGGTGCTCTGGTGGGAACTGGTACTCCACTCCACGAGGATCCCTCAGGGCGGTACGAAACCGCCAGGGCTCCTGTTGTGGACTCTTAGCGCACTCGAATGTGCAGGAGTTTGTCCAAACGAGTGTACTGCCAGTTCCTTGGCCTTGATTCGCAAACTCTCTGTAAACACACACATGCACTGACACCATGCTTAGGGGTGGATAAACGGTCGCCTTATCGTCGCATTCTTTGTTCTCGGATTTGGGTTATTACTGCGCAGTTTGTGGATTAAATGATGTGGTGTTTCAAATTGCCAAACCACTCCCAAAGGTAACCGCAACATCAATTCTCCATTTACGGCGAGTTCAGCCATTCGGTCTCTAGACGCACCTACGTGTTTGGTACATTAACTATTTGCAAACCTGCTGCTGTCTTGTTGTGGGTTGTGGTCAGTGGATTGTATCGATGCGTTAATGAAAACTGCGCTTCGGGCCAACTTTCTTGCTGTCCTCAACACCGTCTTAATTCGAGCCAAATCCAATGCCATTTACTCCCAATATCTGACTCGAAATACAACTGCCCCTTTTTGGGTCTGCAGTGGCCAGCTTTCGGTACCCTCAATCATTCACCAGTTTACGTTCGCCATTGATCCTTGCTGCGGACACTAGTAACCGACAGGTGCGCCCACGCACAGCAACACACCGCGTCAAGTCGTGTCCACTTAATCGGGTTGTTTCCTCATCATCATCATCTTCCGGAGGCCTGGCCGGGATTCCCATGGTCGCAACAGGCACGTGAAACCAGCGTGGCTCACCAAAACACCATTAGAACTCCGGCTCGAGGCCTCCAACCCTCCAAATAGATCCGAATACTAGTCTCACTTTCCCCCCTTCTGTACTTTTGTGGCCCCGTTAACATTTGTGTTTTGTATTGTGGCAGTCAAGATGTCCCTTTGATCTCCCTATAGTTTAAGGTGTTTATCTAATTTCACGCCCTCAGTGCTCTAAATCGTACCTGCGCAAACACGTTTTGTGAACCGTGACCGTTCGGAGAACGACATCTGTTGCTTTTTAATAAAAAAAGCCACCATGTGATTACTTTCTGACAAAAAAAAACAATCGCACCACGAAGAAACACGACATTGTCGGCTTCTGCGTTATCATGGTAGTGAACTTCAAAGATTCTTCACCAGTGTCTTTAAATGTGAATAGCAGCCTATTGCCGGAGCCAAAAATCCTCCTGAGCACTTGTTTACTATTTCCATCCTGCCTCAGCTCTTGTTTTTGAGTAATCTTGAAGTCGCTTTCAAAATCAGCACTTTTAAATCTTGTTGTTGAACGGGAATTCCAACAGGAGGCAGTCTGCCTACGCGCTCATTTGTTCGAGGTTAGGTGATTTGCAGCACACAGAATCCACACCGTTCTCTTGCAGTGCATCGGTTTGAGTGGTGTACCAAGTAGACGCCAGCAAACGGGCACCTCCTCAAATTCCTCTCACCCACTCGTTTAATTGGTTGCTGTCGTTCATACGATCAAATCTGCCCGCTTCCTCCATAGCCTTCTGTTCCAATCGGTTCCTTTTTGAATAGCGGCTCGTTTTGTGAGACTTGGGATGTCGCATTTACGTCAATTACGACATTATGATTAGTAATGTCTAGACAAAAAAATATATCGTTAACCAATGCTGTGTAGTTTAGTTTGGTTAGCATGAAAGATGCTAGCCCACACACTGCGGTGAAGCCACTCCTATGGTCAGCTAAACTCCACTTAGATCTAGAGCAGAGGTTAGGTAAGTTTCTAAACGTTTCCTGCTCCATTTTGATTTGTTAAGAAAGCAAGCACTGAATTGCGAATTTTCCCACTGTTAAACGCTCGAACTTAACCTTGTAATCCAGCATCTAAAAATTTCCTTGTTTTTTTGCAATTTTCGGTCACTGTGACGTTTGAGTAATGTAATTGCATGTCTACTTGTCCCTCGGGGATGGGTGGAGGCCGGATTAATTTCACCAATTACCGATGTCGAGATACGGAAATGCGCTCATCCCCTCCTCTACATTTATATTTGTCAAGATATTTTGGAAGATTTTTTTTTCGTGGGCACATCTGAAAATTTTAATCACACTTTTTGCCCCGTAAGAATTCATGGAGCATTGTGTGGTTCCTAACGTTCGGTGGCGTCTGTGATTTTGGAGGTTTTGGATTAACATTTCGGACCCTCCAGATGCACACGAACGTTTAAACCTTTCTTCATCAAAAAAAATATTCCGTAAATCCCACTAGAATTTCACATGGATTAACAAACGTACCTTCTTGTTTCTTATAAAATAAGTGGATATGGTGTTTTTGGTTTATTAATATTTCGCATACATTCGTTTTAATGCGTGTCTTCTCGACGTCTGGACTCCCATTTGTCGTTTTGCGCAAACGTCTTGTGTCCAGTGTCACGCAGTTGAAACTCATTGTGAAGAGTCAGTAATTAGGTCCGATATGTCTGGCAGTGTTCGTAGTAATTTGGCTGTAGCAATCGATTTCCCAGGTGCTTCTTTCACCACAAGTGTAGAGCTTGTGTGGGTTTTTATGTGTGAAGGCTATCCCCCAGTCCTGCGGTGTTTCGATCGAATTCATTCCTCCGCATAACAGGCTAGAAGGCTATTCGTTTTCTGCTTACTCAGCTGCCTTGTGTAGTAACATTTGCCTCTTGGCAATTTCATCGAAAATGTCGACAACAAGTTAGAATTGAGTTCCTCTGACCCTTCTATTTCTACGTATCCGATTAACATAATCTTAGCTTTACCTATGACAGAACCAAATTAAAGCCTCGAAAATCGGAAAATTGGAGAACTCTGATGCCGTGATGTTATTGACGACTTACTTTAAATATTCCTCCCTGTTTTCACGAATGCTGGTTTACTGGCTGGTATTCTCCTTAAAATTAACCATAACCAGGTAACTTGTATTCCTTATTGCCCGCGTCAAAGTAGATGAAATGCATCTTCGTAACCGAGTGCTTATCCCAATCTAATCCAACCGCACTCTTCTGTCTTCGTTCGCAAGTCGATTCGTGAAAATACATGAACTGCTGAAAAAATTAAGGCTTGTTTGAAGCTTGTGTGCGCATTTTTAACGTGATCTGCATGTCCAATCAGCCTGTAACTTCTTGGAGCTGACATTTTTTTACGTTGTGGTTGTTTGTGCGTCGGATGAGGTGGTTGGAACGATGTGGCCTCAAGTTCCCATCATCGTGATTGGATCGAGCCTTCTATGGCAGAGGGGATGCCTGGAAAAAACTCGAGGAGGGGTTGTCTTGATGTCTCTAAAACTGGTACTGCGCTCAAAACTGTTCGTCCAAAGTGGAGGTCACTGACTAGTTGGCACAAAATGGTGGTGGTGGCGGTCAAGTGGTATACGTCAACCCAAAGATTGCTGAAAACGTCATTAAAAAATATTGAAGGGCGCCGTTGAAGGGTTTGGTTTTGCAAAAAAGTGTATGGTAATGCGATAGTTGTGAAAATTAGTGATCCCGGTCTTTATAGCCGTCACCTGTTTCTGGCTGAATTCTCAGACGTGTTAAGGCGATCTTCTAGCGTTCTTGCCTCAGCGGTCCGGGGTAGGGTCTACCTGACCATCTCTAAATGACCGCTTTTATTTACTTCTTGGATTTTTCACGGTATGGAAGGTAGCATCTTTTTAAAAAAAACTTGAGTTTTTCTGCATTAATTTTCATTGATAAACTGCCCGATGCGTGAAGTGCCCGTTATCGGTTCCACAGAACCCGTTTCTTTCGACCCAGAATTTTCCCTTATTAGTGTGCCTTTAAAGTGCTCCTTCAATTGCAAAGTTTCTGCTCATTTCGATGACCCGGTTTCCACAAAATATCGGCGTTTTGGAATCCAGTAAATTTTAAAATTTTCAAGCCTTCTGGTTGTCCCGGTTCCACAACGCACGTATGTGGTTGGGTTAAGATGGCAGAAATATAACCGGTTGCGTTGAGAAAGTGCATGTCAAGTCGTAGACAGGCGGGGTGTGGCTGGTAGAGGCTGTCAACAAGTGGGATTCAGTTGGACCGGGCAGTGTACGTGGCAGGGCCTCGTGACCGGACGTGTCTGCATGCTCGAGGGGGGGAGGAGGGAGGTGTCTGACCGAGGTCGTGGAGGTCGGCTCATCACGACCCACCACAATGTCAAGAAAGACCCTGATGCGTGTTGCTTTGTGTTTTCCCTTTCTCCGCACAGGGCTGGTCCACACTCAGCATGTTTGCGTCGGCTGCTGCCAAGAAGACCAACGAACTGGCCGTCACAGCAACGGAGAAAACGAAGCAATTGGGCCAAACAGTACAAACGAAGGTGCGTTGTTCACTTGTCACCTCAACTTGCTGTGGCTTAGTTAATGTCAAACTTTCAGTTCCTCAGTTCCCCCAAAAATGCATTTACCTTTATTGTCAACGGGATCTTTATGGGTAATAATGTATTTTCAAAATCTATTTGGTTCTAATGCACTCTGACAATCTGCACATAACATGTTGCATCTTGCTAATTATTGTGATCTGTTTGTTGTATCCTTGCTACTGTGGCTTTTAGCTGTTGTTGAGTGTAATCGTTGTTCAAAAATTCGAGCCAATTTTTCTCTGACTGTTGACATGATTTGAAATAACTAAGGTATTTTTACTGAATTGTTAGATTCCGAGGCCTCAGCGTTATGTTTAAAAGCACGCGGTAACGTTTGCCTCGGAAACTGAAGTACTCATCCTAATAGCGACGTTTGGGTGCTTAGAATACCGCATAGGGCTTCTGTTATGGTTCCTTGGCCCTAAACGCATCAAAGGTTCTTTTCAGTTGAGTCCACGTCCCAATCTGTTAACTATCGTTATCTCTTTATTTTCCATGCAAAATTACTCCGAACTCTTTTTCCATTCACTTTTTTCGAAAATAAAATGACACCAAGGTGTCCCAAAGTTTCACACTTTCGGAGTGGTGTTTTCACCTTCCAACCAGAAAACGTTACTTTATTTTTCTGAAAACTCGTGCATGTCCGGGCCTTCTGTCCGTGACATAATCACATTTTATGTAGCCCAGTTTAAAGTGTAGCGTTTGGATTTTGCCTTTTTGAACCACCACTAACTCGGCTGTGTTAGTCTCTAAATGGAAAGCCTTCCCTTCTCAACTACGCTAAAAACTTAGTCCCTTTTCCAAGGCTATTGCCGAATTAAGTTCTATTTCGTACTAACAACTTATCCACGCACAATTGGGGAAATGGCTGGTGATCGTAATGGACACTATCTCAAACACTTTGGTCATTGATGGAACTTTTCTGTTCAGAATCCTCTTTCCAAAATCATCCATTATTCCTTCCAGCAACCCAACCTGGTTGTTTTTGCATGCTGTGTGTTCTCGAAAGGCGTGATATATTTTGCGTGCGGTAGCAAATTTGCTCCGATGACACGAGCTTAGTGGCACTGCCACGAAACTGCTTGGTTTCGCTGTTGATTCGGAGAACACGTAGGTTCTGCGAGAGTGTTCAGCCCACTCAGCAGCTTTCGAGAACTCCTGCTTCCTTGCCTAAGGTTGAAATCTCGAACAGGCTATTAAAACCTGGATCATCATTATTTTACTCAAGCTTCACGAATCAATTCGTTCAAACCTTGGCATTTGCACTGAACAAGCTTTGACCTAGGTTGTGATAGAATGTGTAGTCTTGCTTCTTTTCTTCACTCTGTTGTACTATTTAGTGTCGTGTGTTAATAATACCCTTTCAGCTTAAAGAGGGCCACCTAATGGACACCATCTCCGATGGCGTGTCAAATTTGTCCCACAAGGTAACATTCCTGTCCACTTTTCCGCCTTCAATGTCCCGTTCGGTTGATTTTATCAACTACTTTCGTTGCTGTCCACGCAAACAAGATTTTCCCTCGCACCTTTTAGCACCTGTCTTGTCTTTCCTTCACCCCCAGGTTCAGAGCTACCTTCAGTCATCTGTTGGCGGTTCTTCTGGGACTATGCAAGCATACCGTCAACAGGGGATGACTTACCAGCATCAGCTTGATGAGTGCGCGGGTGCGGCGGTTCCTTCACGTGACACCTACGGCTCCCTTGCGACGTAAGCTGATTCCTCTTTGAACGGAGTGGGATTAATCACTGCACAATTTATGGTCTGAAGTAAAATCCACTTGTTTTGGTAGATTTTCTTGCCTTTATTTAGGAGATTAATCTACATTCATGCACATCTGGCGTGTTTTTTCGGTAATCACCTGTTTCCCCTCCCATTTGTGTCTACTGACTGGCACAAACTTTAAATGCTCGAACGTTAACTACTACGCAAACTTTGTATCCCCCCCGTCCTACGCTGGTAGAATGTTTTGTCAAAAAAGGCGACATCACGTCTTCTTTGCGTCTCGTGGCCGAATTTCCGAAACCACAATCGTTGTTGCGACGACGTCTGTGGATGCTTCCTGGGAATCTGTTTAAATGTGGTAAAATCAGTCGCTCGCAAAATGTTGTTCCTGCCCAATGTGCTTTAAACCAAGCAGTGCGAGATAATCATCATAGTCTCAACTACACCTCAGCTTCTGGATCTTTTCCCAAAATGTGATTGGAGCTTTCTTTGCCCTGGCAAATCCTTTTTGCAGACAACATTGGCACGAGCTCCATATGGAGGACGCGAGGTGTAAATGCGCAATCGTTAGGAATTGTAGAACAGCAGGGTCTCCGACCGCCTGAGCACGTTTTTGTGCCAGCGGTAGTTTGGGACTATTTTCTTCAGGTGATTTAATTCACGACGCCGCAGCGGCCTTAGTGCCTTGTGTGTAGTAGTAAAACGTTGCCTCTGGTTGCGGTGTCATTAGGAGTCCAAGATTTTAACAGGCGAATATTATCTCGGTAGGCGTCTACTTAAAAAAAAAACTTTTCTGTTTGCCTGTGTAGATAGGTTACTGCCTATACTAAGAATACGTTTTCTGGGTTTCTCTTGAGAACCCGGCAAACGCTGACGCTAACTCCATTGCCTGCTAACTACGTCACCTTCTGAATCCCACAGAACTGTCAAAATTCTCTATTCCTAGTGTTAATTTTGGTCCTGTTGCCAGGTAAACCGTCGAAGTTAACCCTGTTTGTGGATTTTTTTGCATGGTTTTGCTGATTCTTCTGGTTAATGTCCCCATCGTAATTTATAGACCGTGGTGTATAATCCACTGTATGGATTTCCCCTCATAGCTGCTTTTGTTGTTCTTAATGATGACATTGCGGTTGTTTAAACAGGAGCGCCAAGAAACCATTCGTTGTCTACTGTGGCCAAGAACTTTGTTAACATACGTATTTTATTACGATTCTGAGATATCTTCCCTCCCTTGATTGAATATTGCTGCTTGATGACGTTGATCCTAGACGTGGCACTCAATGCCGCAATAAAATTATGTTAGGTAGTGATAACTAATCGTTTCCTTGGTTCGCGTTACCGGAAGTAGTTGTACGAAAACTAAGGGAACTTTAAAGAACAGATATTTTCTATTTTCCCTGGTCTAAATTTCAACGTTGCATCAGTCCTCCGCAGCAGCAATCAGAGATGGAACAATTGAATTGGGGTAATGGAATAACATCAACATCCGCGGAGTGTCTGTTTAACTTTTAATACCCTCCCAGATTTTACTGTGTTGGGTGGCAAGTTTTGGGGTTAGGGTTTTATGTACTGTTTTGTCACAGTCTTTAATGGTGCGGACAAATTGTGTGTGTCGAGATGGCGACTTCGTGGCGGATCATTTGACAGTAGTTGGGCTTTTTCGCAAGAGAAAATGGGGAACATTATGCGTTCAGCTATTTCCTTTTTTGTTAGAAGAATATAGTTGCTGAGCGACATTCGCATTGCTGCAATTCACATAGATCTTGCATTTTCGCCGTTTATTCGTGTCTAGGCCATCGGGGTTGAGTGTCGCGTTTCACACACTCCAGCGACCTTTGCCTGACTAGTTTTTCAATTCCCATTAAACGGATTATCGTTAGCACTGAAAACGCACCGTGTCTAAGCGTCTAAACTTTGAAATTGCATGATTTTTGTCCATTCATTCCCCGAAAGCATTTTGGCTAGTCTTAGCTTTGGGACCAGAGCAAAAAATGCCTAAGGGTATGGTTCTTCGAAAAGTATTTTTTTTTTACCACTACACTCTTACCACTTGCTAAATCTCAAACTGCAGCAGCTCCCTCAGTCCTGTAATTAAACCTCGCAAACAGCATAGAGCCACACCTATTAATCTGTACTTTGCTCACCCATTTCTACTCTGCCTCCACCCCATAGGGTCGTTATCGACAATATACCACAACCTGAGTATGCTTTACGCGAAGTGGCAGATTCTCAGTTGCTTAATGGCCCTGTACCCACGTTCGTTTTGGTTTATTAGCAATCCACGGTTATAAAATGCATTGCTCGCAACCCAACTAACAGGACTTATTGAATGTGTCGAAGTTCTTCTCATTGGATGATGACTACTTGTTATTGCGAAAACTTGTATTCGACCGAGCTACATGGGGTTAGCATCTTCAACGCTAATAGTATGTGGGCAAGTTTATTGTGTCTCAAACACCTTGGCTCGACTACCGTAACTCCCCTTCTCTGAAGTGTCACCAAACTGTCGCCAGGTATGGTTAAGCCTTTACACTGTGCAGTTTTGGTAGAAAAAAAAGAAGCTTCTGTTTGACATTCCACGCGCCTCCGTGTATTCTTTCATTCGGTGCATGTTAATGGAATGACTTAATTGCGCTAAATTCATGTCAAGCACGCTCGCCTAAGTTGAGATTAATTTTACTAATTCCCGCCTCCCTTTGCAGCCCACGGATGTGCACATTTTGATTAAGAAATGTGTTTATTCGTAAGTGGTTTCCTCAAGGCACTCGTTATGAATACGTGGGATGAAATCTACGTTCACTCAGGTTGAATTTGAAAATATGTCAGTAAAAAGTTAGCTTTTGTTTGTGTATCGCCGAGCTCAAATCATCGACCCTTAACGATGGCGGATATTTTGGCAAAAGGGCCTTGGAAGGACAAGGCGCACGAACGTGTCTTGCTTTTGTGACCTTGACCTGTAATCTAGTCTATGCTCCACAGGCTAGCCTTTGTCCGACTGTCCGCGTTGCTTCGACGTCTGAAGGCTTGCTCTCCCCTTGAATCGTCATTCACGTTTCGCAAAAAAATGCCTCTGTACTAGGGAAAGTGGCTGATTCCGCCTTGTAAGAGTATATGCTTATCATAGGGTCTTTCAGTCAGGGCTCTCCCTTGTGTGTTAAATAATTCATTGCTACTTGGCTTGAGAGATTTTCTAAGTATGAAAAAAAGACTACCCTGCCTTCCTTCTTGTGTGACATAGCTTCATTGCTTATTCATAACCAACATTTCTACCACTGCTTCGTCGCCAATTGCCCTTCCATTTCCTTACGCGTTACTGAACAGATTACTTTATTATTTGCCTAAAATCGGAGGTTTAGACTCGATTTCCTTAACATCGGCTGTTCTAGCCCTCCCTCTTCTCCACATTTTGCATATCCTCACGCATTTCCAGACGCGCACAATTTCTCCGTAACTCCCGCATTGACTTGTGCCAACTACTGTCTCAGGAGTCTGGTTACACAGAATACTCTTTCACTTGTGGAGCAAATTGTTCTCGGTTGTTGTTGTCGTTATTTTGCGATATTTTGAACAAGCAGGCTTGCTTGACAGTAACTTCTATCTATGACTCCTTAAATGTTCATTGGTTCCCGCATGTACCGTTAATCCTCACTGTCGGGCCAAACATCCTGTAAATACGCTCACGCCCATGTTACAATGACAAAATATGCCAAGTAGGTGATTGAGCGGTCTTAGCCACCTTATCGTGTTATTTTCTAACCATTCTCTGGACTTTCGTGGGTAACCTCAAGGTCATTGGTTGGTTTTGATGCAGGCCATCGTCGCATCACCTAGCCTCTACAAGGTGGGTAGAAGTCGACCGATTTTTTCGCAAATACATGGTGACACCTTCGGTCGGGCGTTTTGCCTGATTTCGTCTCTTATTCACCGTACATGGTCCAAAAGCTGGTGTATTTGTGCGGAAGTTGTTTGGTGCCTATTCGATGAAAATAATCCTTTTCCAAACTCGCGAGCTGAAATGACGTGTCCAGTTTGTGATTCTGCTGCACACGGTCGAGAAATTTTTGCCATTCGACTTGTCCACGGGGTGTTGCATGATGCCAAAGTGCAGCCCGTTGACCTGTTGCATCTTTGCTTTCAGTGCTGGGGGTCGGAATGCGAAGAGTTTCGACGAGTGTGTGGATGCCAGCGCTGACTGGGGGCGGGCCAAAGTCGCCTGCGACAACTCGCTGGTCGCTCCAGGTACGCCATTCATCTCACTTTACGGTTTCCGTCAAATTCGTGGCCGCACGTTTATGCCACGATCGTAGATTAGCTTGGATGCTAGTTGCTCTTTTATACTTGAGTATACTTTTTGTGCTGTATGTGTTAAAGCATTGCATTCATTATCTTCACCTCCCATTGCCATAGTTCTTTTTTCTAAGTTGCCTTTTTGGCCGTATCTTGCTCTCTTGATTAAAGACTATACTCCCTAGTTCATTATGACGCAACTAATTTGGTGTACCCGTAGCACTGTAATTCTGTTCGAGTTGCACGCGGTCATCTTGGTTTAATTATTATTGTAAATAAGAGTGACAGTATCTAGGTTTTTTCCCTAAAGGCGCACATGATCCAATTGTAGCGACAACAACGCCGACTCCTAAGGCGGAAACTGCTTCAAAGGATTGGTGGAACTCGGACTGGGATGCCGACGGTGACAGCGGGTGGAACGACCTCAGTGGCAATTCCGAAGAGCAGTTTAGCACATCGAAGAATCAACGCATCTCCGGATCCGTTAGTCGTCGCAGCAAAGCGAGCAAATTCGACTGATGCCTGTCTTTACCTCACGCTGTTAACTTCCTTGCTTGCGCGTGTGATATCCCAGTGTGTTCCACCACCCTCGAGGTCTTTCGGAGTGCTATTGATCTTCATGTGACCCGCGTTTTCTTCGATTTACGCTACATTAATCTGTGACTGCGAATAAACGACATGACGACTGAGTTCCCTGTTTTGTCGATTTTACTTGCAGTGTCGTGTTAAGAGGGGCTGTCGGCAAACTGCACCACCTCCTACGTGACTTTTGTGTAATGTTTGGTAAAAGTAAAAATGTTGCGTGTTTAGTAAGTTTGGCACGAGATACTCTGTTTTTTTTTCGTTTTCCATTTTGAGACGTTTGCAAACTTAGAGAAAAAGACTTGAACAAAAGATTGTTCGCATTTTCTCGTGATTGCCTGCCTGCCTGCAGCGCCGACAACCATCCAGTCTTGTCACTTTTTTCGGCCTGCTAACGTTGCGCCCTAGGTGAGAAAGCTCACGTGCAAAGCGTGCCAATTTCCCATCAGTTACCACAACCGAAAAGGAGGCAGAATGCTCTGCCGTCGTCCACGCGCCAGCGGACGATCCCGACCTTCCGGTTTCCCCTCATCTGCTCTACCGCTGTTCAATGCCCTTAGCTCATTTTTTGTCACCTACCAAAGCGTTTTTGCTCCAGCAAGAAACTTGAAAAAGGGCCCTTCATTGTCCAAGGTCAAATGGTCATATGGTTTGTCGCTGCACCCATTCAATTTAACCACGTAACCCAAGGGAAGTGTGTCCCAAATCAGTCTCTATGTATTTTCCCAGGTGGCTTCATTTTTACCCTTTGGTAAATCCGGATAAAAGTGCAAATATAACTTGTGCTTGTGTTGGCTCTTTCTGCAATTCGTTATTTACAAAACATTACCATGCGGTTTTACGATTCGTAGCTATGCTGCTGAAGTGGGGAGCGCGTTTTGATATTCCAACCATCTAAGTCATGAATTTGTTATGAGGTAGCACTTGTATTTCATCCAATCACCGTTTTAAAAATTGTAATGTGTTATAGGCAAGTTTTAATGCAAGTAAATGGTTTAACTGGCGAATTTGCGCAGGATAACTTCAAAACGAAATGGCTTGGCGCACTATCTGTGCTCTTTGAGTTTCGGAGCGTCTGTGTGTCGGAAGATGACTTAAAGTGCGCAATTTAAATGTCAAATAGACTGTTATTTTGTCCAAAATACCTTTCGCTTCCTTGCCGATTGCTCCTTCAAAGTGCACTAAGTTAATTGTTTTTCTGTTTTGTCGGTGGAAATATAATAATGTTAGGCCCTTTGTTGAGAGTTTAAAAACTCCTATGCTCCATGGCATGAAGTGGGGGTTTGATCGTAGCAATGATGTCGCAGTGTGGGTAGCGATTAGGTGACTTCTAGCCAAGTTACCCGAAACACTGCTGTCAAGTTTCTTTAAGATCTACCATTCAAAGTCGAACTATGATTGGATTATCGCTTTAACACCGGTGATGAAAATTTGAGGTCATATTTGTGGAAGCGCAGGACAAGCAAACTGAATCGAACTGAGAAGTGGACAGCAACCCCATCAGTGATCGACAGCTGACTGGCTTCAGTGGCCATGTCCCTGGTATCTAGTTGATCGGCTTTGTTTAGTCAACATTCATACGGCAGTAGGTGGTAGTTATGGTCACAAAGGCAGGCTACTGATGAGAGATCAGTGGCTTCAATCTCGTCATACCGCGATTTAATGTGAAAATAAGGGGTTACCCAGGAAGTCAGTCTTTCGTTATGAAATCATTCGATAAACATTTTGGTGAAACGGTGTGCAAACTCAAATATCTAATTGCCAGCACTTACGAGGTCATCATACTTAATCCATCATGAATTACATCAAATGTCATTGGGATTGTATTAATTTTTGTTCATAAAAATTAACACGATAGTAACTTGATCAATATTTTTAACATATTCTCTATTGTCATGTGTACCCCCTTCACGGTAAGAAAGTTCTCGATGTCTGCAAAGAGTCCAGCCCTTGACTTAAAAATTTGTCAACTCATGATTTTAATTCTGGACGTGACAAAAATTCAATTAGGCCAAATCTGGGGACAATGGAAGACGCGGTAATTTACTACCCTGAAATAAAACAAAAAGCTAATCGATTTCGACACGCAGTGATTCATTCCTCAGCCAAATAAAAGGCTTTTAAAATGCAGTTAGAGTTGACTATACTCAGGCGGGTTTCAGTTTTAAAACACCCGAAGTTTCTTTGGGGGATCGAGTAATTAAACCTAATTCGTTGCGATATCATTCATTGCATTTTGTCTAAGTCTGACCGTGTCTTTGGTACTTGCCAAAGCCCCAAGTTACACAGCTCCACAAAGGCTATTTCAGGCATAGAAGTGTTTTGGTACACTCAATCACGAAGCACTTCGATATCCAAATGGGTGTTACTGTCTCAATGCACTAGATCTCTAATGCCTACAGCTGAACTGAAATAACTTAAATCTTAATATCTAATCTACTTGTTTTTTTACTTTACTCTATTTCGCTTCGCACTATCATGCAATTCCTTATAATGATTAACAGGGTAATTTTGCCTTTTCAAGACACTTATTGAAGTTAAGACCTGATGCCAAGACCTAGGTACATTTGCGCCCAAATGACCCACAGTTAGCCCATTTTTGCTCCAATTTTGTGTAGTTAACTTCAATTGGATTGAGTCACTCCATTCCTTAGATTGACTCTCACGAGTTACTCCTTTTTGAACTTCATTGCTTCTTAATGTGCAAAACTTCGCAAGATTTTAGGATTGGAAATGTCAAGGCTCCTTTAATTTTTGATGTTGAACCTCGTTAACTGCAAAAAAGACATTTGGTTCGTCTAGCCACCGCTGTCGTAAAATGGGTGAATTTTGGGGGTGCAGACACCACGGAAAAGTTTTAGTCGGATGTATTAACCTCACGAACGTCTTCCAATGACTAAGTCATGGTAATTCTTTTTTTAGTCGACTGTGATAAAATTTCGTTTCTCAATAACATGCTTTACTCAATGGCAAAATTCTCTGAAATATTTTACTTAAACGTACAACTGAAGAGCTTATCGGATTTAGGAACACTGTGAAAATTCGAAGATAATAAGGACTGTGACTTCAAATTTCAAAAAAAAATACAAGTGATGTTCAGCGTCACATATTCGACCCTGTCAACCAAAATAGGCTTTCTAGAGTTCACGAGGTAAACACCACGAAGGGTTTCAAAATGTCAAAAAGGTAGTTTGAAGTTTAAAAAAATCTTTTTGTACAAGTAATGACACAATACATCAAACCCGGAGTTACAACACACAAATGTCAAGTCTCTCTATGTCACGTTATCCTAGATTTACAGTCATAGTTGAAAGAATCGTTTCAGTTATCATCAAATTGGAAATATGGGTGTTGCAGCGTCTATCTTATGATCAAGCATTACACAAACTTTCCCCTCGAAACTCAGTGCCGTGTAATTTGCCAATCTGTTTTCCTCCGTTTTGCTATTCACTAGATGCCGCATCACCCCAAGAGACATCGATCCACCTTCTTTGGCACTTTTATGGTGTCAATGACCTGAAATTCCTTCAGTTGAAACCGATGTTGAATGTAACACCGAACGAAATTTTTACTTCTATAGGCTTATGCAATCAACCCTAACGGAGGCAGCGTTACTTGTGTAAGTAATTAAACCCGTTCCAGGGCAACACAGCAAAAGCCCTTTTTAAAGCCGTAAGTTTATAAACACCACACATTTAGAAATGTTTTTTTGAGAATTCACGCAGACATGTCGTGGCGTGAACTCTGAATTGTGTGTTGGTCACCAAGGCGCCGACGGAAGGGTAAACTCATGGAGGAATCTGCACCTCAGCTCCATCATGTAAATGTTCCGTGTTAGTTTTTATATAAGCATAATATTGGATTAAAATGTGTAAATTTATGCTTGATAAGGGCTTTTGTGCTGGCTTCATCAACCGTTTATGTCTTTTATTTTAACTTTTGACAGATGGCACAGAAGGACTTTTAGAACAGCGCCACGTGAATACTACAACATTTAGCACCCCTGCGAACATTCAACCACCACAGATGGCAAATTCGTCGCCACCCTCAAAATGTGTGATAATCTACTCATGGATAAAGACCATTACCTGACTTTAATGTGAAACAGATGGGTACCCTCACGGCGAGTTGGGCTTGGTGGGGTTTAACATTTAAGCACTTTGCCTGGGGCACGAGTGCTTTTGCAATTTCTTTAGAAATTCGCGTGAATCGTATTCTTTTTAATTAAAGCAGATTATGTAGGCGGTGATTTCCTGACTTTGAAAATTTCCTCTTTCTTCAACTCAAAAGTTCAAATTTTGGTAGACTGATAATTCTCAGGCTCTTTATTGAGCTGGCAAGTTTGCCGTGCAGCGTGTTTGGTATTACAGTTTTCCTAAGGAGGCCAGGCAGGCACAGGCCCCTATTCACCGGCAAAGCCCAAATTCTTCTTACCAATTCCATGACGCAAGTGAACCAGGGAATTGGTAAACATGGTTCTAGTGGTAAACGAATAAAGTCCGCAAGTCTTTTGATGACCGGTAGCTAAAATGAGCGAGATGTCGTGAATGAAGTATAAACAATGATGAAGCATCTTGTCTCAAGCGATGTATCTGTAGTTTTAACAGACCAAGATCGAGGCAAGTGAAGACGACTTCCAGTGGATCTCCAACGGACGCGTAAAGGCGGAAGCTTGTCCAAGCAGACATAGTGCTATTTGACTTACTTATACCTTTCACTGGTTCACACGCTCTCTGCAATAATCCACACGGGCTCACAGTAGGGGTAATGTCCGGCTGCGCCTGTCTTGTTGTTTTTTCCCTCAGGCTCCTTGGGTGTCAAGAAATAATAAGATTTCAGCGTTGCTTGCTTTGACTGCTACCAACTTTACAATGGATTCCGTGCTTACTACTATTATGTGAAGAGTTCGCACCTCGTATGCTGGGAGACCAAGGCGC